ATGTTACCATCGAGGTACGATTCTCAATCACATTAGACATTGAGACGACTCAAGTATTATCTATTTTAAATCGCATACCTAAAAGTTCTTATATGCCCATCTGCTAATACAGTATAATATAATAATAATACGAATCCCGTACCGATTATTTTACCGACTGGACTGCAACATAAAAACTATAAATGTATAAGTAACTTGCTGTTAAAAGCGGTAGAACCGTTTACTTAGATCGTTGAGTGTATAAACGCGTGCTCACTTACGGTGCATGTGCATTTCAATATTATCAGGAGTGTATAATAGGGTAGGAGGTAGGGTAGGGTAGGGTAGGGTAGGGTAGGGTAGGGTAGGGTAGGGTAGGGTAGGGTATAATAGGAGTGTATACCCTATTATACACTCCTGATATTATAGTATTGAAGGGCGCGACAGAATATATATGATAAGAATATAAAATTATATTTCCGATTAACCTTTCTCATAAACGTAATCTGAAATTTCGAGTCTTCTCATGTTCATACCGTAGAAAAACGAAGTTGATCAAAGGAAGAAAAAAATTTAACATCATAACAACTGCAGCACAAAGCAATGTGACTGAAAGTATGTGGTTTATTATAGACAAAGCGTGATGTATTATATTTTACAACAACAGGTGGCGTTGCACGCCGATCTAGGTCTGTGGTCACGCGAAGACTGTGTCTGTGCGAGCACGTGCGACACAGTATGACAAAGAACGCGACAACGAATGTGGGAGGAAGGGAACAACTAGAGAGGGAGACAGAGCACGAGAGAGAATGTGAGAGAGAGAGAGAATGTGAGAGAGAGATCGAAAATGAGAGGGAGAGAGAGAGTGTGTGAGTGAGAGAGAGAGAGAGAGAATGAGAGAAGGTGGGAGCGTGCGAGAGAGAATGAGAGAGAACGAGAATAATAGAGGACGAGAGACAATCTCCCACACACGTCTGAGAACGAGCGAGCGAAGGAAAGAAAGAAAGAGAGAGGAGGATAAAGAGAGAAGGAGGGGATAGGTAAAAAATAGCTGAGCAAAAATAACATCAAAAGTAGTAGAAAGAATGTGAACGTGACTAACACGCGTGAGGTAGACAAGGGGGAAGATACAGCTACATCGATCTACTGGTTATTATATATATGTATATATGTATACACAATATACACACATATATATATA